CCAAATATAGCTCGGGCCCAAAGATTTAGGGTTTCTACCAACAGCACAGACTCGTCGAGTCGCCTCACCGACTTGTCGAGTCCATTCATTAATCCGAGTCATCAGTCGCGACCTTACTCGACGAGTTGAGGCGTCAACTCGCCGAGTCTCTCTTCTTAACTCAAAAGAAAAATACTTAAATTATGATACCTGGAAATCCGGATGTTGCATTTTGTTTTTTTATTTCATAGATTTCTTCATCAACAAATGTTGCTACAATTAAACAAAAATAAATAATTTTGCTAAAATATAATACAATAGTAAGTTTGTTCACATTTAATCATTAAACTTTTTGAGGGAAACAAACATTCGATTTTGTTCACATTTAGTCATTAAACTTTTTTTCGTTATCTATTTGCCACTAAACTATTGAAACTGTTCATATTTTACCCTTATGACCGGTAACAACCGGTCATAAGGGTAAAATGTGAACAGTTTCAATAGTTTAATGGCAAATAGATAACAAAAAAAAGTTTAGTGACTAAATGTGATAAAAGTCGAAAGTTCGTTACCCTTTCAAATCATTATCCCTTTTTTTAATACATGTGTGAAATTCTGAATAAATTCTCTTTAAATAGTTAACAATATATGAATAAATTCTCTTTAAATAGTTAACAATATATTGATAAATCTCATTCCACAAGATTAAAAAATACATGTGGTAAAAGCCACACATTTAAAGATCATTGTTGTCAAGTTTTTTAATACATGTGTGAAATTCTGAATAAATTCTCTTTAAATAGTTAACAATATATTGATAAATATATTGATAAATGCTACTTAATTGTATATTATTGTGCTGTTAGCTTATTGACAACAATCACTTACTTCCAAATTTAAAACTATTATATTGAATAAAAATGATCATCCTCATTCCACAAGATTAAAAATCGTGTGAATATGAAAGAATAAATAAATGTTACTCTTGTGGAATTTGTAGGAGACATAATAGAAAATGATTCCGTCTAAAACAAAGTAATCAAAAAAATAATATTTTTATGACATTATTACTGGTTCAACTTCAAACTAATTATGATGTATTTTTACAACAAATAATATTGAAGTTCATTTTAATTGTAGTGTTTTTTTGTAACAATGAATTTTTTTACCTTATTATTACACTGTATGTCTAATGTGGAGTTTTTGCATCTTAAATATATTATATATTTAATTTTATGATGGCTAAAAATTGTATGTATAACAAATAGATTTTAAAATAAAAAACAAAAATTAAAAATATAAATATAATTATTTATTTAAAAAACAGTAAAAACTTGAAGAAAAAAAATATTATTAAAAAACAGTAAAAATATGAAATAAAAGAAATGGACATTTAAAATAGAAAAAAACACATTTCCAAAAATCATACAACCCATATGGATATTTTGAAATTTTATAATTTACTTTAAAACAATTTTTAATTTTACAAATATGCAAGTTAAAGTTGTAAAGATCTTGACAAAGGTATTCTATATCTGCATATGTAAATAAATAAAAATACACAAGCTAATACCAGCTACGATAAAATTAACTAATAGTAATTGTTGTTGAATTAGCTCTCATAAACGTTTATTTTCTGGTCATGTAACAATCAGAATAGCGTATATTGCCTAAACTGGCATTCGATCATAGAGCTGTTTAAGAACCACAAGATTCACTTAAGAAACTTAAAAACTAAGTTCTAGAAGAAAGTAAAATTCAGAAAAAAAAAAAAAAAATAGAAAAACAGAGTTGCCATTAAAATGCAGAGCTAGTGGAGATCAGAGATTGGTAAAGGTTTATCGGTCACGATTAATTCTGAAACACGGACCAAATGATTCAACATCATATCTCCTCCAATAACACCGAATAGTTCTTTAAAAACCAAAACAGAAACAGATGCTATGAAAACGTACGAACAGTTTATCTATGAAGCGATTAACAGGGAAAGATTATCAAAAAAACAAAAACGATTTTCCAAAATAAGTAAAGAGAAAACAAACGAAATAACAAAAACAGCAAGAAGCTATATTTCAGGAACATAAAGTTCAATATTTCTAACAGACATGATATATTTGGATGATGGATGCGAATGAAATGAGAAATTGATTTTCGAACATATAAATATATGTAGAATGTAAGAAACCCTAAATCGAACGGCGATGCCCTCCATGTTTGTAGGCTGATGATAAAAGATTGTAGAACTTGCAAAGCCCGTTGGGCGTTTATGAGTGTGGGCTGATCCGTAACCTTGCTAACCAATATTTCCAAAAGAGCCCACTTTATAAGCTGTGTGAATCTAATTACCTAAATAAGTAAATAATTATTCAATTAGATAGCATATTACCATTATTAGATTATTACTGATTATTAGATTATCAGGAAGACTTATTAGTGATTATTAGATAGCATATTACCATTATTAGATTATCAGGAAGACTTAGGTGTTGTTTGTTTTTTCTGAAGCAAAATGTCTGCAGTCTGCGGACCACATCTGTAGACCTCTGCAGTAGAAGAGGTGGACCAAACGTCTGCAGTCTGAAAAAAAAAAAGACTGTTTGTTTTTTTAACATCTGCGGGCTATTAAAATAAACTGAAATCTAAATAAACTGATTTTTTAAAACTTCAAAGCGAATTTTTTATATATTTTTACGACTTTATTATAAATATATAACGAATCTAGATCAACTTTTATGTATTATTATATAAAAAATAAAAATAAAAATGGTATTAATTCATATACATATTTGATAAAAACCAACAACTTTGATTGCAAAGTTATAACTAAACATTATAATTAGTGATCAAAGAATTTGATACATAAATAGATGGAAATGAACTTCGATTTTTTCAAATAAATCTATTAAAAACGTACGATAAATATTTTCTCGAGAAATTGATGATACTCTATTAAATAAAGTTTTACAAAATTTTGGCAAAAAAATATAAGAATATATTATGATTTTTTTTTTCATATTTATATAAACAACTTCAACGACTATTATTATAATAAATTTTTATTTATAAATTTGTTAAAAATATCATGTTTGTATCGTCAAATGTTTTTTTTTAAGTTTTGCAATTTTTTTTTCATATTGTTTATCATTAATAAAGTTGGAAAAAATATAAATTAAAAAAAAACTTAAAAAAAATAAAGATATATATATATATGTTTTTTTAAGCTAGAAGATGTCTGAAAATATTAGAAGACTTTGGTCCACATCTGCGCCAAGAAGAGGGCGCGCAGACATTTTTAGGTCTGCAGTCTTCAAAAAAACAAACAGTCTGCGAAGACTAATGTCTGCGCGTGGTCTGCGCGGCGCAGACAGAAGACGTCTCGCAGATCTGCAGACAAAAAACAAACACTACCTTATTATGCTAGTTAGCAACACAAAACTCGTATTGTTTCACATATAATTTACATGGTTTCACATGTAATTTATATTTTTTTCACGTGTAATTTTTTTATTTGTTCGGAATAAATTATTAATGCATACTCAAAATTTTATTTCTTTCGATAATTGACTTTCTATAATTGACAGAAATATCAGAATAAATGCAAAATCAATCTTCAATTTAGTCAGAATAAATGCTATAAATAATGATAACTCGAAATTTACTTCCTTTCTACGCTTAATCCGTAAATTCAGTCATTCATAAAAGCATTCCAAGGATGTGAATGTCGGTTTTTTATAGTTACATTCTTTATACGCTTTCTAATATTGTATCAATAATAGGAAGTCATAGCTTCATTGGTCACATGGTACATTGAAGCAATTTAAATGATTAATATTAGTTAATATAATGATTTAATTAACTAAAATTGCTATACATTACAATCTCGTAGTATTGAAAAACAAATTGTTAGTTGCCTTATTGAATTTCTTATTACTTGTCACGATAATTGTTATAACGATTTGTGAACATGGTATGATCAAACTACTTTTCCATTTTTAAAACATTATAATTTGGGAAAAGTGTACGGAATAATAACATGATTTCATTCGATTCATATTAAATTACAACAATGGTCATTGTCATTTAAAAGTTTTTTGAAAATGTACCTAAGTACACAAATTGCATTTTGTCCATACTTCGGGTAAATGTAAGAAAAACCAATAAACTTTCAATTTTACTCCATTATATCAACATTCTTTCATTGTATGGTTACTGTTGCGCCTCTGGGTTCGCCTTCCATTGATTGTGAGAGTTAACGATTCCTTCACGGTTGCTCAACCTCGAGACTGCAAACAACTTCATCAGCCAATTGGTTGGGAGGGGATCCCGGACCAACGCTGCGAGCAGGTTTGCCATCATGTTGCATTAATGGTCATATGCCCTAAGGTACACTTTTTTGTACTTACTAGCCATTTAATAGTTGTTTCTCGTTGGTCAAGGGATCTATCAATCATATGTCGTGGTATAGGTTGTTTACTTTGAGTTCCAATGTACTATGAGTTATCATGTACCTTAGTCGTTACTTTTTGTAGTTCGGTACTCATGCATAATTCGACATGCATCTAGTTCGGTAGATATCTGGTTCGATAGATACCTAGTCCGGTATATACTCGGTTTGGTGCATACCTAGCGCAGTATATGCCTAGTTCGGCATAGTGAGGGTATGAGCGTAGCTTCAAGCTGACTATACCCTATTAAGTCCCCTATTTTGGATTTTCTTTTAAAAGCAATAATTCAAACTTAAAAACATTACAAGGTAACTATTGTAATCAGATAAACATAGATACCTGAATTAAATTATGATGTGACGGTTCTGCCACTCTTAGTGTTCATCAATGCCTATAACTGTCTATTCGGTTCTTTTCCATTTAAAGGGTCTATAGTGTAAAACTACCACTTTGTCTCCTGCATAAATGTAGCTTTACTAATTCCCTATACATACCCTTCTTGCCTAGTTATTTTCTTCATCGCTTGTCATTACCTTCAAATTATTCTTCATTCTCACTTCTTCATTTCACCTCCTAATGGCTAGCAAAGAAATCTCAAGCATCCACATCATGATATCCAAACTTACCCTTACGAGCCTCTCTGATATCATGAAGAATTACCACATTGATTTCGAATTTCACCCGCGTTTTCCTGAGCCTATGGATGCCATTGTTGATGCTCTGGAAGGGTTCGTTGGTGTGTATCGGGTTTTCTTTAAATTAGGTTTATGATTGTCGGATTTCAACTTCTTAAAGACGATCTTGGCCTACTATCATTTTCATATTCCTTAGATTAAAACACCTTACGAAAAATCATTTGCTTTTCAATGTTGTGTTTTTCTCTAGACATGATGCCTTCTATCGCCATATTCTGCCACTTCTATGTTACTATGTCCAATCGTGATTAGGTATATTTTTTTCTCCACCATGCCTAGTGGAGATCTGTGATGGCCTTCCTACTTCTACCAAGTATTGGAAAGAAGAGTTATTCTTCGTCCATGCCTCCGCTTTTTTTAAACTATGGTATATGGTGCTACTGCTGACAGGGTTGCTGGTCCTTCTCCTGATTTATCCCTTGAAGAACAAAGAGTTATTGATCTTTTATCAAAGAACTTTGTCAAATGGACCGATCTCGAAGAATTAATGTTAGCTTGAAGGGGATAAGCTCTTGATGGAGCAAATTAGGGAAAAAGTCGGTGGAAACCGTAATGGGTAGAGAAGTCACTTTACTGGAGCGATTACATCTCAAGCGTTTGGTGAATTCTACTTTGGTTACCGAGGAGGTTACTATTCCCATTTCTCTTTCTCGATCAAAGTCCAATATGGATTATGCTGTCAATCCTTCGGGTCACGATACGACAGTGTCTGTAATACCTTCCCTTTTCCAAGAAAATTATGAAGACGAAGCATGATAGTAGGAATCCTCTGTCTTCTTCGACTAGGGAAGCGTTAAGGGCTCAATCTTCTAAAAGGAAAGTTGGGACGCAGAAACCCCTTTCCTTGGAAGGATTAATGAATCTTCCTAACAATGTAATCGATATATCCTCCCCTAAACAAAAAAAGAACCATTCGTGGTGGTGAAGCGAAAAATCGTGGTTTACTACTATCTGGTAGTCAACTTTCCTCTAAGTCTATCGATCTAGTGCTTTCCTTGGAACCGCCTGCAACATGTACTCCTCATGAGTGTCTGGTAATTATTGATCCTGGATTGAAACATGCTGAAGAGAATCTTCCTTCTCCTGATGTTGAAGCTCCTGGTTCTGGGATCCATCTCCATCATACTTTAAATGTCTTAACTATTCCTAAGTCCTTCGATCCATTGTCAAAATATTAGACTCCTTCCACTTTGTCCACTACTGCTATTTTCTAGCAAAAACTTTTTGGAGCTAGGTTTGGACTTTTTCAAGCATTCAACATTGAATCTACAACTATCACTGTGGACCCTATTCATATTGGTTTGGGTGTTCCTGGTAGTTCGAACCTTACTCCTGTGGTAAATTTCGACACTACTCCATTGTTTGGGGGTGATTCTCACCCAGAATTAGTTGTTGATGTTTCTCAAAGTACTTCAAAACAAATTGGTATGTTGTTCTTTAATTGCCTTTATTCTTTATCCATTTTTTGACGATGATATGTTATTTTGCTTATTTAAGTATTACCTTCTTATGAGAAAGATGCTCATATGCCTACACTTGTCACACTCGAAACCTTATTTCCCTAGTTTCAACAACCTTTCGCTCGAACCCCTGTTCCCAAAGGTCCCAAACTTGCGAGTGTATCGGATGATGAGAGCCTTTATAGATCGTGTTCATGTTTGATGGAAGGGTTGCACTTACTGAATGAACTCTCTGCTCGTACCCGAACACGTTTATATATTCTTGCCAACCAGCAACTCAAATTTAAAGAAGTCTTACAACCTTTAAAGGGTACCTGAAGTATTTATGAGTCGTTGGAAGAAGAGGTGAAGAAACTATGAGCAAAGATATTAGGCTTCTCCAAGAGAAACAAGGATCTGGTGAATGACTTAAGTAAGAGTCTCCATTACCAATACGAACCAAAGAAGCTGAATCAAGACCTTCAGCTTAGAACTGACGATACCATTGTTCACCGTTCAAACTGAGCAGATAATTGGAAGAAAAGTCCCAACAATTCGAATCCTGGAAGCTTCAATATACCGAGAAAGTATCCCAACTGGAGCTTACTTGTTCAGACAAGGACGTACACATCAAATTTCTTGAGGAAGATCTTGCAAACTACCAAGCTCTTATTTCTAAGAAAAACACCCAAATTATGTCTTTAGTCAAGCTCCAAAATTTAGTTAAGCATAATGTGCTTCAACATCAAGCGGTATTAGAACATGGAACTTCATATTTGCAGTGAGTTATAAAGGAAGGCCTTCCATTTTTGTCTAAGCCATGTTGAATTCAACTAATTTTGGGTATGTCAATGCTGCCCTCCAGACTACAGGCATCTAGTTGGGGCTACATCAGGCTTGTGTTGAGATGAAAAATGAGTACCCCAAAGTGTTGGATGGAAAGTATGCTGTATATTCGTATCCCGATGCTCAACGTCATATTCTGGATCACTTCTTTGACATGGTTACCTACAAATATTCACCGTTTGTGCCTTTGGAGGGGGGGAAAGTAGACATCAATGTGTTGAAAGAGAAATTGGCAGTTTGGATATGCTTTTCAAGAGTGATAATGCGAGTACTAGTGCATGATTCGGCCATGGTTTGTGTTTTTGTGTAGCTATCAATTCCTAGTTTGTAAGTTTCCTATTTTTAAGGTCGAACCACAATGTTATTAAACAATATTTTTCATCCATGTTTATTTAGTTGCTCGTTACTCATATATTCTAGCAATCTGTGACATGTTTGTTTGAGCTTTCTTTTCAACAACTTTTTTTGTTTGATTGTTGGTCTTGTGGCTAATTATTGCTGCTAACTTTGGTTGATTTAGCATTCCAAATTGTGTTGATTGTTGATTAGATTGATCATCTCTTGTTAATCTATGGGACTTCAAGCAATGTCATGCTACGAGTTTTTCAACTTAGCAATTTTTTGTGTCAATTCTAATTCTTAGTGAATTATAGCAATTTGTTTTACTCTGAAGTATGAATTTTGATCTTAATGATCTATTTTATTAATAAGCCATAACCATGTTTTTATAACTTCGAACCATGGTTTTATTTGACATTTTATGGTTTGTGCATGAGCCATAATCCATAGGAACTTATGGCTCTTGTTAATAATAAAGTTGAACCATGATTTGGCAAATTATTTTACAACCACAGATCATGGAAGCAATCGTCAAACCGTTTGAGGAATCTCTTTCTTGTTTTCATCTGTTGATTCATTCCTTTTGAATTCAACATTTTTCCGTAGTTGAAAACTTTTATTCTTCAAATGATCTTTGAGATTTATCGATTCTACAATAGAGAATCAATCAATTGAATCTGATTTCATTTATATTCAAGATTTTAATCTTTTCTGATCAAATTCATGGCAAACATAAACGTCAATACAATGATGAATTACACAAATTGTCTCTGTTCTTCAACAAAAACTATAATGTTGCTTCCTAACTATTATGATCAGTGGGTTGATCGAATGGAATATTACCTTAATGGAATAGATGAAGATCTATGACCTCCAATCAGAGATGGACCATTTTGTTCAACTACAATCGAAGTTGTTGGTATAGCTACTCAGAATGAGAATGTATCTGCAACACGTATGAAGAAAGAAGTGAATTACAAGAGGTGTATTCATGAACTGTGAGGAACTTTACCTCCATTCATTTACAACTACATCTGTGGTTGTAAAACAATTCATGAGATTTGGAACAAATTGAAGGAGAATTTTCAAGGCAACGAATGAACCAAGAAAAGTATTGTGACTCAGTGTTTGACTGAATTGTCTGAATTCAAACAGAAGGAATTAGAGTCCATCGAAGCCTACTATGATCGATCAGTGATTTGATTTACAAATGGTCAAGGTATAGTGTTGGTCAATCGGTTATGGAATTTAACATTACATTCATTTAAGGTTTCAAAAAGGAATGGAAAAACATATGTTTTATGATTAAGACACAAGAGAATTTTGATTCTTATTCTCTACCATAATGAATTCTGATGATGAGGTTGTAGTTTACCATTCCAATAATAATGTCAAAAAGTTTTACAAAAAGCCTATCAAAGGAAACTTCAAAAGTAACACATTCAAGAAGACATCTTCTACATCCAATCCTGTTGTTGAGAACAAGAAACAAGGTAGTTCTACTAAGAAGAAGGTTGAGAATAAGTTGGTTGGTGATTTTGGCTATTACTGCAATTATTGCAATAGCAAAAACCATTTAGCAAGAGATTGCATGTTGAATAAAAAGGAGGAGAATGAGGGAAAAAGTTAAAGATGAAGCTTAACATGGCTTAAAAATCAATGAATTAAGGGAAAAGTCAAAGAATCTTTCTTTGGTTGCAAACAATATGAATGAAGATGATGGAACGTATCAAATCTAGTCATCTAGATTAGATGACGAAGAGATGTGTCATCCAACACTTGGTGCTATGTTTGCAAGGCATTATGTTGTTGAAATTGATTAAATGTATGGTGATGAGGAGTTTGTGAAAAATGATGTGCGTGGGTCATATAGCGAAGTTGGAAGTGAAGATGGAAGAGAGAATATCGAAGATTTGTGCTTCATTGCAACCACTTCAAAGTATCTAATGACTAAAAAGGTATGTAATCTCTTAATATTCCTTCAATTTCATATGATTCAATGTTATCTAACATTGATGATTCATGTTCTTACTTGAATAATTTGTGGATCTCTATGAGTAGTGATATGGAACATATAGAGGATGATTTGTACGATGCTAAGAATAGAGTCAATGAAAAAACTCTAGAATAGAGGGTTTAAATTTCAAATTGAATTATGTTACTTTAGATCGTGACTCTGTGAGGTTAGATAATATCTTGTTAACTAAACAGAGGAACAATTACTGGAACACAACTAAAAGACTTTATGGTAAACTCACATTGCTTTATCACTCATCTGAAATATACAAAGAACAGCATAAAAAACTTCTACCTTTCATTTATTTTAAGAAGGAATTAGTTGATAAAGTTTCCATTGGATTGTGAGAGTAGGGTTTATCAATTTGATCAGGTACCGGATGATTCTTATGCATATGGTGTTGTTAATATTGATGAGTATTTTGATGCTGATTAATTGTTTGTAAATGATACTTTTGAGTAAATGATACTTATGCATATTGTAAATGATACTTTTGAGTAACAATGAAAACATGAAAATTTTGAATAAAACTGAATCTTCGACACAATGTTCTCAAGAAAATTTTGCGGATATCGAAGATGATTATAACAATATCAGTGAAATTAAAGAAGATGAATGTGTTGATTGTTAAAATTTTCCAGTAACTAAAATTTGGTTCATTAGCTAAACGTGAAGAGACTATGGATTCAATGTTGAAGCTTAATGTTGATTCATCTTTGACAACTGAAACTAATGTTATTCAAGAGAAAATTGATATTGAAGATATCAAAAACAATGAAACTGATTTTGATGATGTTTCTGATGAAAAGGAAATTCCATGAGTTGTTAAATGATAGGTGTTCAAGTACACAAATGAGTACAAAAAAGTTTTGAATGAAAATGGAAAACATTTTCTTGAACAAAATGCAGTGTTTTATCCATGATTTTTGGATTTTGCAAACCATGTTTTTTGTTACATTGAGAAATGGTGAGAAACTTAACTAAAAGTTGAATGATTTGTTGAAAGAAGAAAACTTGAAAGTAATGGGTGAGGGTTTTTACTCAAATCAAAATGTTGTGGAAAATGATTTGGATCAAATGTCAAAAACTTTTCAATGACAGAAAAGTCAAAATTCGAATTTCAAATATAACAAGAATGAAAAGATTGGTGTTTGCGTTGTGAAAGGAACCCAATCTCCTGTGAAAGATATGTCAAAATCTTATTATGTATCTATTCTAGGAGAGTTGAAGGTTCAAAATACCAAACCAAATGAACAAAAATGACATATGAAAAAGGATAAATCCAATTGAAATGCTTGATATGAGTCTTACTGGAAGTATTTGCATAACCTTCAAAAACAAAAACGTTCTCAAGAAAGATCTCAAAATCATTCACATCATAATTTTCAAAAGCATATATCAAAAAAGAGTCTCAAACTTAAGTTTAAAAAGATTCTCCAAAACAATATTTAAAAGGTTATGCAAATCCTCTTTACAACAAAACACAAAGTCATCCACAAAATCGTTTACTAAATAACAAAAAAAACACCTCTCAAAAAGGATTTCAAAATCGTTTTTCAAACAGTTTTCAAAATCAATTTTCAAACAATTTTCAAAATCATTTTTAAAAGGATGTTTGACATGGGTCTCAAACTGTTTTTCAAAAATGTTATCAAAACCATTTTCAATAAAGATCAAGTAAACGTGTTCAACAACAAATTCAAGAAAAAACCATAACCAATGTTGTTAAAAAATGTGCCTTTCAAACCCGATGATCCATATTTTCCAAGTCCAATATCAACACAAAAGTCGAAGGTTTCCTTTACTAATGGTAAAACTGATATTGATAATTTTAATCATTGGTTTGTGCACAAAGGAAAAAGCTATCAGTCTAAAGAATTTTCTCAAGATCAATTGAAAGAGGCATATGAGAATTACTTGTGTG